TGGTGCAGGGCACTGAAGGATTACTCAGCTCCTAAACCATGTTTCTTCCTGCCTGAGTAGCTCATGTGCAAGATGGAAGATGTCAAGTGGGGCCGAGGAGCAGGGACCATGACAGCATCCTTTGGATGAGGAGGTGGCGTGGACGGCTCAAGATATAAGCCAGGCCGCAGCCAGGGCAGGTGTCAGCAGCCCTTGCACAGTGGAACCAGCCTGGGCTGCTGCTTCCTGAGCTGCCTTAGAGACACAGAAAAGTCAGCTCATGGCTTTGGCCAGGTGCCCAGCAGCCTTGACAGAGCCCAGCTCCCCGTGGAGGAATGAGGCCAGGGCTATCTGGACACTGCCCAGGGGCTGGGCTTTGGCCAGTGGCCTTGTCTTCCTGGGTGCCCCTGGAAGGTTCCACAGGGGACCACAGGGATAGCCACGGGATAGAACAGCCCCCACATCTTCTGTGCTGTGGGTTTAGGAAGCAGTTTCCAGCCTCCCCCTCCAGAGGGCCTGCAGCTTCCCTGCTGGATGATCCGATGATCCAATGTCCTGGTCTTAAGGAGGCCCTGGAGGCGCAGGGCGGAGGCTAGGCTGGTCTGGAGCCTTTGCCTTATATGACAATGGCCAGAGGTATGGGACTCTGCTCCTGCTTTGCCTGCCCTACTTGAGCTCAGAGGAGCCTTGCCAGGTGGGGCTGGGCTATTTCTTGGGGAGGAAGAGACCAAGAGACTGTGGCAGCCTCAGCCAGCTGCACTTGCCCCTGTGCACAGGGGTGGCGTCTGGGGGACTCCCTGCTTTTTCTCTCCTGTAGAGTATGCTCACCGTCTAGGAAATGAAAAGCAGTGGGCCCTGGCCCTGGCCCCCAATCCCAGTGGGAACTGAATGTACAGGGAAGAAGTCGGTGGCATCTAGGATGAAAGACAGTGGCAGGGGTTGGGAGGTGGAGGAGTGTGCTCTCAGATATTCAGATGTAGGCTCCCAGAGTCCACTCACACACACCCCCACTGCTGTTTTGGTGCTTTTCCTTTCTGGACTGCAGCCCAGCCTGACCCACCCGGCCCGCCTCTTCCCTTCTGGATTCAGTGCCAGGGCCCTGCTGTGCGGCAGCTTTGCCCTCCCCTCCCTTCTCCTCCCCTCCCCCGTGGCCTTGCTGGGCTGGGTGGGGGATTAATGAAGCCCAGATGCAGCTCACTCTGTGCTTTGGTGGCAGCCCCATCATGGGCCGTTTGCCTCCCACTGTGTTCCTGGCCCTGCTGCTGTGGGCTCCTGGGAACAGCTGGAAAGCGGGTCCTGACTGACCGCAAGCAGAGTGGCCCTCAGGCTGGTGTATCATGGGGGAACAGCAAGGGGCCTGCACCCCCAAGGCTGTGAAATCGGGGCATGGTGGGGAGGAGTGGGGTGAAGGGCTCCTATTTACCACCCTGTGTTCCATGCCGGGCAGGGCCCACTGGGCACAGAAAGGGGTCAAGGCTCAAGGGAGGCAGAATCAGGTGCCCATGCTGCTTCACTGTTTTCCTAGTCAGGAAAGGTGGGAAGCCAGGGGTGGGGGTGCACACCAGTCATCCCAGCACTTGAGAGGCTGAGGCAGGAGGATCATTGTGAGTTTTAGGCCAGCCTGGTACATAGTGAGACCCTGTCTCAAAAAATAAAGGGAAGGAGGGAGGGGAGGGAATGGTTGGTACTCCCACTGTAAGACTTAAAGTCTCGCTTCCACTCCATGGAGCGTGAACAGCCGAAAGGGCCTTCACGATGCTGGGACCTATAGCTCAGCGAGGCTCCGGGAGCTCCACGGAGAAACGAGAAACCCAGGAGGGAACACACCAGGCTAGATAGATGGTAAATTGACCTTTATTAGTCTGGCTAGACGGCACTCCCGGAGCCAGGTAGCTCAGAGAGGCAACCGCTCAGGGGCTGAGGTCCTTTTTATAGGGTTTTTCTAAACAAAAAGGGAATTCACAGAACAAGACGGCAAACACATTGTTTATCTTACTACATAGGAAATGTTCTACGGTCACCTTTTGTCATACCATTTGCCCCTGGGCGGGCTGTTAGCCAAGTTAGCGATTAGCATATAGTAGGAAATGTTCTATGGTCACCTTTTGTCATACCATTTGCCCCTGGGCGGGCTGTTAGCCAAGTTAGCGATTAGCATATGAAGAAGCACAGTCTGGCCTTTAGCATGGAGTCACTTTAGCTTACTCAAGTCTTACACCACGACTGCCAGATGCAGTGTAAACACCACATGGGGCAAACATGCTAAAAAAATTAGCCTTTGTGTATCTGAAATTCAGATGTAGCGGGGTATCCTCTGTTTCACTTTGCTAAGTCTGGCAGGCCTATCTTCCCTGTCAGCCAAATTTCTTTCTTACCTGAAGGTTTTATTGCACTCCAGTGTACAAAGAACAAAGCACAGGCCATTTGACATATATGACTCAGTGGGTTTTCACAGGTCAAGCACACATGAAGCCAGCACCCAGGTCAAGAAGTGAGGCACAACCAAACGGCCTGGTGGCATGTGCCTATAATCCTAGTATTTGGGAGGCAGAGGTAGGAGGATTGCCACGAGTTCCAGGCTAGCCCGGGCTACTTAGTTAAGTTCAGGACCAGCTTGAAGAACAAAGCAAAAAAACAAAACGACAACTGGAGCCATCCCCAGGTTTGCTCCCCAGAATCCCATCTTCCAACTGCTCTTTTCTGTTTTGTTATGGGGTCTCACTTTGTAGCCTAGGCTGGCCTTGAACTCAAAGCATTTGCCCTGCCTCAGCCTCCCAAGTGCTGGGATATAGGCATGTGCCACCATGCCCAGCCCCTCTCTCATTTTTTGTGCCTGTGTAGGAGTAGAATTTCAAGTCCCGGGTAGGCACGTGTAGATCTCCAGTATATCCTGCCCAGTGCTTTCCCATACAGATGTGCCCGGCTTTTCATGAGCACCTCAGCCCTACACCCTCCCTGGCTTGGGCACCCCCTCCTTTCCTGGGAGCTCCTCCTAACGTGCAGGTACCACCTGCTGCGTTCTCTCTTCAGCCAGCAGCTCTTGCTTTGTTTGGTTCCCTCTTGACAGTTATCTAAGAAAATCAGCATAACCACCCCAGGTTCGGACCCTGTGTTAGGGCTTCTGATCCCAGCCTACCTAGCCTCAAGGGGGGTTTGAGGGACCACCCTGTTGCAGACACCCATCACCTGAGGCAGCAGGCACCCTGGGAAGTTGCCAGGCAGCCTTCAGTGCTGGCAAGGGTGATGGGGCTATGACCAGGCATGGTCCTGCCTCCTGAAGTCCTTCCCTAGGGAAGTACCCTAAATCCCCCAGGCAGCAGCTCCTATCCAGCTCTTCCATTCCATGCAGAGTGGGTGCCGTCCCAGTGGGGTAGCTGAGGGCACCCTAGGGCTTCTCCAGTCCTTTTGTGACTGGGCGCTTCCTGTCGAAGGACCCAGTGCCGGATCACACAGGTTCTCAGTGAATTTCCACTGCAGGCTGCCCAGGTGGTGGCCACATCAACATCCAAGCCTGAGAGCCCAGAGGGGCCCAACCTGAATGAGGCCCTGGGTTCCATGCCCACACCCGGAAATAAAAGTCCCTGGAAGTTGATGTCTTCTGCCCATGAGGGACAAGGAGCATGCTCGCACATGGATGGTTGGGACCTTACGATGAGGGGTGGCCTTGGGCGTTCAGGTAGAGGTCCCCTGTCTCTGAGTCCTCAGGCCCTATCTCCTTTCCCTTCTAGTGCTTAAGGAATCATAAAAACCAGAATCACAAATATTAGTGTTGGAAACCTGGCCAGGAGCTGGGCATGTGGTGGACACCTGTAATCCCAGCACTTAGGAGGCTGAGGCAGGAGAATCGCTGTGAGTTGGAAACCAGCCTGAACTACATACTGTGACCTGGTCTCAAAGACCAAAAAACAAAAAAAAAGAAAACCTGGCTTTTGCTCCTAAAGAGACATTAGCCGAATACCCTGGGCTGATGGTTACCTCTCAGGGATACCCAGAGAATGGGCTCCTCAGAGGAATGTGAAATTGGAAGTTGGTGCAGGGAGCAGGACGTCACCAAGGAGGAGATGTGTTTCTCATCTGAGTTGCTTTCTTTTCTGTGGTGTCAGGGATAGAACCCAGAGTCTTGCACACACTGTGTCAGCACTCTGCCACTGAGCCGCACAGTGGCTGCTAACCCTCCCAGATCTACACTCAGATACAGACACAGGGAAGTAGAAATATTGAACTACTGGTTGCTTGGCTGGTTGGTTTTGTTTTGTTTTTTGGTACTAGGGATTGAACTCAGGACACTGTGCTTGCCAGGCAGGTGTGGCACCACTGAGCTAAATCCCTGGCCCTGGTTGTATTTTTGAGCCAGGGTCTCACTTTATAGTTCAATCTGGCCCTGAACTCATTGTGTATCCCAGGCTGGCCTCGAATGTGTCCCAGTCCTGCTGCCTCAGCCTCTTGAATGCTGGGATTGCAGGTATGCAAGCCCATTCCCAGCTTGTATTTTGTTTGTTTCTTTGTTTGTTTGTTGTTTTTTGAGACAGGGTCTCACTATGTAGTGAGACTGACCTGGAACTCACTGTGTAGCCCAGCTGGTCTCAAATTTACAGCGATCCTCCTGCCTCAGCCTCCTGAGTGCTGGGATTACAGGCGTGCACCACCACGCCCGGCTCCGTTTGTATTTTTTTTAAATTGAGCCTAAACCTTTCCCACTGAGATACATCCCAAACCCTTTTTCAGTGTTTTTGTTTGTTTGTTTGTTTTAATTTCAGATAGGGTATGGCACAGTTGCTCAGGGTGGACTCAAACTTGCCATTCTCTTGCCTTGGCCTCCCATAGTGCAGGGACTGCAGGCATGTGCCACCCCCAGGCTGGCTTTGAACCACTTTGGAGTAGTCCTCTGCCTATTCATCTCCACAGATCCATATAGAAATGGAGAGGGCAACCCCTCTTTCTGTAGGTGTCCTGTGCTCACCCCAACTTCCTGCGGCCGCAAATTGCCACCCCTTCAGGTCCTTCCATTCTTTCTCTCCCAGGCAGCTTCGAAGCCAGCTCAGCCTTACAGTCATTGCCCGGATGTTGGGCCAGGAAGAGGCACTTCCTCTTTGGAAAGAGAAGAGGCAGGTGAGTTGGCCTTGGCTGGGCAGGAAGGCTGTGAATGGCTGCCCCTGTCCCCACGGATTCGCCACACCAAAGCTTTGAGTTCTAACTAAGCTGGGCCTGAGTTTTAACCTCCAGTTCTTTCAGCCTACAATTCCTGGGGTTGGGGCACCATGTAGGGGTCCAGTGTCTGCCTAGAGTATGCGAGTTCCACCCTCACACCATCAGGAAGTGTTGGCATGCACCCCATTGGCCTGGCTTCCTAGGAGGCTGAGGCAGGAGGATTGTTTGAGCCCAAGAGTTCAAGGCTTACCTGGGCAACATAGGGAGAGGCATCTCTTAAAAAATTAAATATTCCTCTTTGCCTGCCTGGATCTCTTGCTTATAAATTATGGTAAAACAGGCCAGGCATGTGACACATGCCTGTAATCCCAGCACTCAGGAGGCTGAGGCAGGAGGGTGGCCAGCCTGCACTGCAGAGCAAGTTCAAGGCTGGCCTGAACTACATAGTGAGATCCTGTCTCACAACATAAAACAATAAATTAAGATAAAGTACACATAACCTTTACCATTTCAACTGTTATACTCCTTTTGTAGTGTCTGTACTTCAGTGGTATTTGCCGGTTGACCTTGCTGTATAGCCCTCACCACCATCCACCAACAGGACCTTTCCACCTTTCCAGACTGAAACTCTGCCCCCATTAAACACTAACTTCCACCTCACACCCCTGACCTTGGTTAGGACATTTTTGTAGGTGGAAGAACAATAAAGCTGGAAACATAATCTTTGGGGCAGGAGAGTTAAGACAGGGTCTCGCTACATAGCCTAAGCTGGCCTGAAACTCACAGCGACCCTCCTGCCTCAGCCTCCCTTGTACAGGGATCACAGGTGTATGCCACCAGCCTGGGTTGGAAACAAATACTATTAAATGAAAACTCCTTCCTGCTGGTGTCCCCAGGGGCAGGAAGGGGCAGCTCTGTCTCTGCCATACCCATCCCTGACAGGCACGTGACAGGACAGATCTGGCCTGGCTGGAGTCCTCATTCCTGCTCCCTCAGGAGGCAACCCAACCCCAAAGTGTCCTTGCACTGTCACCCTCTCAACGTTGTAGGATGTGCACAGGTGTCTTCCTGCCAATTTGAGCCGCAGAGCAGAGGCTCCTTGAGAACAAGGACCCAGGGCTTCTGTCACTACCACCTAGCGGCACCCAGCACAGGACCTGGCACCCACCAGAAAGGCAGCACCCTGGGGAGGGGGGTACACGAACAAAGACAAGGTGGAGTTTCATGGTGCATGGGGAGAGGGCAGGGGAGGAGTGGCTGCATTGAGGTCACAGTGCAGAAAGGATGGAAGATTGAGGGTGCCACTTGGAGCTCAGCAGTTCAGGGCAGGAGTAGCTGAGGTGCGGTGTGCACACCTCAGACAGATCCCAGAGGGCTCAGGTGCACCCTGGCAAGAAGGAGTCAGCATGGCTAAGGGGTCTATGGGCCCCGAGGAGAACACAGTGGAGGCCAGATGGGGCAGGGGCAATGGTGGCAGCGGCCAGGAAGCTGGGATTCTCCAGGGAGGAGCCCAGGGTGGTATCGGGGGCAGGTCTGAGGGCCAGGCCTTCATGCCCTTCTACCCCTTGGGCCCTGGCTGAGCTGTGTGTGCCAGCCTCCATCTCAGGTCTGGGCACCACCAAGCTCTGGGGATTGTATCAGACGGCCTCACAAGGGTGAGCAAGTGGCTGTGGCTGCAGTGACTCACTCTGCCACAGCACATAGGGCAGCTTGCAGAGGTGCCTGGAGCCAGGTCTGGAGGATGCATCATGCCTGGCAGCTGTAGGGCAGGCAGGACCGGCAGGGACCTGTCCCAGCCCTGCTTCCTTCTCTGCTTCAGGCCCCAGCCACTCCATGGTACCTGCCCCTTGGTTGCCCATCTCTGGCGTGGCCCTTTCCAGTTTGGCCTGTCAGGCACTCTCCCCAGTATGTGGGCTTCAAAAGCCCTCCAGCTGCCACACCAGCCCCCCCACACCCCATTTCCAAGCCCCCCCC